ACAGGTCTAGCTGCTGTGTGAACTGGCAGACTGCGGTGCTCTGTGGAGCCCTCATGCTTGCAGCTGTGTTGATGCGCAATATGCTGGGAAGATCTCTCTTCCGCTGTACTGTTTTGGAAGAGGAAAGAAACATGTTCTGGCGCTTTGGCAGGATACAAAACTATTACAGTGGCATGTGAAGTTTCTGGCTTCCTTGTTTCTCAGGCTAGCCCATACTGTGAGGGGACTATTACAGCTGTGCCTCTGAGACCACTTTGAGGTCTAAACACTTTTTTTTCCTCCTAGAAATCTTGGATGAGGACAACAGTGTCGCTGCTATGTACCAAGCAGTTGGTGAACTTCCTCAGGCTAATAGGGACACTCTAGCTTTCCTCATGATCCACCTGCAGAGGTATGTCCAAATGGGCTGGTGCTACTGAAAGGGGAATGTTGCCACTGGTGCTTTCTCTAATTGGCTCCTGTTACTGCTTGTGAGCATGAAGTCTTCATTCTGGAAAAAAACCTGCTTATTCGGAGGCTGAAGTGTGTGTGGGATGGGGGAGCTGTATGACAAGTGAAGGGGAGAAGCTATGTTCTCTCTTTCTTAATTTTTTTTTTTTAATATAGGGTGGCTCAGAGCCCAGAGACTAAAATGGACATTACCAACTTGGCCAAAGTCTTTGGCCCCACGATAGTGGCCCATGCGGTACCTGATCCTGACCCTATGACACTCCTACAAGACACTAAGCGGCAACCCAAGGTAGGTCAGCAGAAAGGACTGACTTGGGTAGAATGTCTCCCATTTAAAGAATTCAAACGAATTGCTGGAGGGAGCTGAGGCAATGCCTGTCTGGTGTCACTGTCAAAGCCGTGTGCCGGTTTGCAATATCAGCTACTCGTGGGTGTCTCTGCAGGTAGTGGAGCGACTTCTGCTGCTGCCTATGGACTACTGGAGCCAGTTGATGATGGCGGAACAAGAAAACATTGACCCAGCACACGTAATTGAGAACGTCAATGCCTGCTCCACTCCACAGACACCAGATGTTAAAGGTAACCCCTGGGTTCTGCTCTATTGGCTGTGCAGCTGCTGTATTAAAAATAATGACCCTCAATCAAAGCTGCCTGTGAGACTGTTGGAGCTAGCCATTCCTGCATGCTTTATGGAGGAAGAGGGAAGGAAAGCATGCCAGGAAATACCAGATTTGTCTAGTATTTTTGACAGATGCTAGGGAATGTCTAATGTTCCTTGCATGGCAATGAAAACTTCAGCTGTCCTCATGTTGCTCACTTCGCTGCCTCTCTTGACAGTGAGCATGCTTGGACCCCTCACTACTCCGGAACAGCAGCTCTCCAAGACGCCGTCGTCTAGCTCCCTGTCCCAGAGGGTCCGGTCTACCTTCAGCAAAACCACCCCCAAGTAAGTGCCAATGGGTGCTATCATGGAGGCGTTGGGATGGCTGCAGGTGGTTTGGGTGTTCAAGGAGAACTAAAAATAGACTTTTGGACCCAGTTCTGGGAGCAGCCTGGATTTATTACTCAGTCAACTCTCACTTAACCAGTGCTGTAGTAACAGTGCAAGCTGCTTAATGGTTAATGAGCGTCATCTTATGGTAGGGAGAGAAACGCTTTGTTTGGGAGGTGGGTAAAATTTGGGTGAATGACCCCTGGAAAAGGGAGAGTGTTAGACCTCTATATCCCAAATCCAAACCTGATATTTTTCTACTTCTCTTGAACTAGATTTGGGAGCAAAAGCAAGTCAACAACCCAGCTTGGGCATCAGGGCAACTTCTTTGCCTCTCCTATGCTGAAGTGAAGTGGACCTGGGAGTTAGTGTCGTCCTAGCATTTGCACACCAATATGCATGAGTACAGTAAATGCAAGTCCTCTCCGTGGCCCTTGGCAGCTTATGTAATAAGATATTTTTCCTTCTATCTTTCAGCTTAACTGAGATTTTTAATGGGATTTTATTGTGCAATGTATTTTTATTATCTAATGCTGTGCTGAATTTAGTATTGGTGAAGAAAGTAACTAGCAGGATTTGTTCAAAGCGTTAATAAAAAACTGCTAGAGGAACTCGCTGACACTTTTCGGTAGCATCCGGTCTTCTACCCATATGAAGTGGAACAGTCATACAAGGATCATAAGGTGGTTTGTTGTGTGTGTTTGGGTTTTTTTTAAAATTCCATAGGTTGTTCTTCACACAGCAGTGACACCCCGATTGAACTTTGTCACAATCCAGTTTTTCAAGAATTACAGACCTGTGTGCTGTTTGACTTGCACTGTGGTCGTGTGGCCTGTAATCCTGAGGATGGCAGTGTTGCATTTGTCTGATGGGCTAACGATGCTCTGTTTAATTAACTGCCGGAGGGACCGTGACTTTCTAAAGAAATGTTTCCTGATGCTGTGTGTTTACAAGGGGAAAATTTTGTAGAGGACTCTGTAGATGCAGACCCAAAGGATTTCTGGGTAGTCTAAATGAATTACTAGTGTTGCTCATACTGATGAGGGGAACGAGGGCAGTTTAATAGCACCCTTGCTTTTGGGAGTCCCCGCTTTCCGAAATTGCGGTATGTGACCTTGCCCAGTGCTGTGTGAAAAGACTTGTGGAACATCTACAGAAGTTTATAAAGTGGCTGTTTTTACTGAGCTCTGGAAAACTGTCTGATCTGTGCAGTTAAGCAAATCATGATGTTCTATGTGATCTATGATTGTAACTCTGGCTAATGCTTTTTACTTGTGCTATAGAGTTTTAACTGGGGCCTGTGCAGCATTACAGGAGGCTGTGATGCTGCAGTGCTCAGGTGCTGGGCTCTGAGTAGCTCCTGCCTCAAGGACTGATGAACCTGGCAGTCTTTGCTGCTGGGGTGCAGGATCATGCACTGGGCTGTGGCTCATGGGTTCAGAGGAGGAAGGAGAAGAACGGTTTTGGTCCCCAATATTGTATTGGGAGGTGAAATAGCCTGGGCTGAATGTGGTGGCCTGGGTTGTCTCTCTTCCCCTTGGCTGCAGGATCTGGGGCGTGAAGTCCTCTCCTGCCATGTTTGCACCCTAGCTCTGACCAACTACAGGAGATGGGGCAGCTGGGGGACACACTTGGCTTGGTCCTTTTTCTGGAGCATCCTCTCCTAAACTGGGTCCTTGCCTGTTCCTTGCTGGAGCAGAAGCTGGGGGATTTGCAGTGGGACCTGCTGGGGGACATCTGCCCTGGTCCCCATGGCTGCACTCTGGGGACAGATGGGGCTTGGGGACACCCTCGCAAGCCACCCCCAGTTGCTCACTGCTGGGCACAGGGGTGGCCCTGCCAGCGCTCGGAAACGTGGCTGCAATCCTGGGACGGGCGTGTGTGCCCACCCCTGCCTGCAGGGAAGGACACAAGTTCCGCAGCGGGATGTGCAGGTAGACAGGACGTTGTAAAGAAAGAGCTGTACCTAACGTGAGCCTGGGGGGAATGGACAGTGAAAACTGAAGAAAGGGTGTGTCTTTGGCGGTCCATGCTCTGGTTGCTTTAGGCTGCAAGGAGACACCAGCTGTTGCACAGGGGAAATCATGTGGAAAAGAATTTGAAATATTTATTGATCAAAGAATATTAAAAGCCTTGCTTCAGCCCCCAAAACAGCAATGAGTATTTTGTTCCTAGCAATTCCTGTTAAGTGGGTACCGGTGCAAGAAAGCAAACCCCCCGTTTATGTTCAGGCAGGCACAAGTGCGCACGTGCTTCAAAGGATTAATGCAGATGTAATCACAACAATATGCTCCTTCATCAGCAGCTAGCTCTTGCTACATTTGCATTTAATGCAACTGGACAGGCCGGAGACCATCTCTGTCCTGTACGCAAGTGTTTCACCCTCACCAAGACTCCTCAGCGGTTAGCAATCTGATGGAAGAAGCCCCCTTCTTATTTGTTGCAAACGATAGAATTCTGATAATTGAAGGGAGTTAATTTCTCATGCTGCCCTAATCAGCACTTAATTCTGATCTACAGCAACTCCAAGAGAGTGACATAGGTCTACACCTGCAAAGGATTGTGCTCAGACCCTGTAAGCCAAACTCTTCACCTTTGTTTTCATTCCCTCCTCTGAGAAGCAGGACTGAGGGCAGGGTGTGCAAATTTTGGGCAGTCAGTTAGCTGTGGGTAGGCCTGACTGAATGGGCGAGCAATGGGATGGTCCGAGAAGCTGACAGAACCCTTATATCTGTATGAGGCGATGGCCAGGCTGTTGGAAGACAGATAGATGCTAGTGCTTGATGCCTTCTGGCTTTGCAAAAAGGGTACCCTGCTTTCTCTGGACTGGGGCTCCTGCCATCGGTCTAGACCGGTTCCAGCAAATTCTGCGAGCAAATGGCAGTCGGTCTCTTGGATGAAGCAGTGGACAGCATTGGCATTGTCACTGTGGCAGTGCCAAGCCATTTTTGGCAGCCTCTGCATGCACTCCTTCGTCTCTCCTGTCAGCATGGGAATTTTGTAACCATCCATAGACTTTGCTTTTGCTTCAGCAAATGATTTCTTCTTGTAGACGAAGAACTTTCCCCAGCCGAGACTAAGGGCTTGGTGGCCTTGGGGGCTCGGGGGTCCTTTCTCTCCTGCAGGGGTTCAGAACAAGGACATTGTGCTGAGCCTTGTCAACCCAAAGCCACTCTTTCTGGGAGCCGCTAACAAGAATGGATGCTGTGCACTTACCTCATTTTTGCTGTGGGTGTAGAGTCACAGTCAGGGAGCGATGGCTTGGGCTGCGCCTCTTCCACGCTGCAGCAGGTGCCCTGGGCAGTACAGAGCCTAATTTATTGACTTGATCCTTAAATAGACAAAGTATCTCCTTCTGAGCAGGGTCTGATTAAACAATTTGTCTCAGAGAAAACAAAACTGAAAGAGAAAAGCTTAAACCGGGAAAGAAAGTATTCTGGTCTCCCTGTCTTGAAGCTACTGCCTTCCCTTCCCAAAATGGGACTGGGGTCTGGATAAACAAGAAAGGAAACCCAGTAGTCAGAGCAGCAGGGTCTGAACTCACCCCCCGGAGACCTTCTCCCCACTGAAAAGGACTTTGTTAGTACTAAAGCTTTTAGAAAGCAACAGGGGTAAGGTGGTAGAAGGATACTGGGCTACAGAATTTAAATACAGCATTGCCATTATCTTTAAAAGGCCAAAGGCTCCATATGACTCTCTAAGACCTTGGCACTGAGGCTTGTTGGGCTGGTTTTGTCTGGATCTGTCCTGACCTGCCTAACGCTTTGCTGTAGTTTGCTTAGCTTGTTTACCTGCAACAACAACTGCCTAGCAACAAGCTGGCTGTTTCCTAATTGATTTTTAGCAATCAAATTTGCATAGTTTTGTGTAACCCTACAATGGCTGTGCCTGTGATAAATCTGATGTACTTCCTTAAGGAGCAGGCAGTGCTAACAGAGGGTCAGTGCAGTCACTGGGCAGAGGATGGCCCCAGGGCTATCAGCAACTCATCAGGGATCCATTCCTGATCCTTGAAGAACAGTTTTAGCAGGTGACAGAAAGAGGTCTTAGAGGTAACAGGAAAAATATAGGTAAAAGAGAGGGTACATAGCATATCTGGATGTGCCGTGGAATTGCTGCTCTGTGAAGAAAGATTCAACTATAGAGAGTAATAGAAAATACATTTAAAAAAAAAATAGCCCCAAGTAGACCCTAAACTGAGTAGGAAGAAACCATCAACCTTGTCATCATGTTCCTCTCAGCAAAGAAGAATAAAAACCCCGTCAATATCATTTTCCCCCCTTAGGATGCTGATGAGTCACTGCAGCAATGCAAAGGAAGGAGGGAGAATTTATCATTAGAGGAATGGGGTAAATACTTTTGTCTACTCTATTTTATTTTATTTTTTTCTATTACTGACAACCTTTAATGGAAACTGAGTAATTTGGATATTAGTTATTAGCACTGCTGTAACTGGATGAATAGTAGGTGATTGCTGTATCTTGATTAAGACTGAGTCATTAATTAGACTACCGATAAGTTCTAATTCTCGAATCCTTGTGTAAGCATGTTCTTTCTGCGCGCTTTGGCTTGCGCAAGCTGCTTCTCCATTGCCTGTCGTGGCCAGGATGGGGCTGTGTGAGTTGGGTGACAGACGGATGTTTTAACTCCCTGGGGCAGGGGCTGAGCTGGGCTGCGGGCAGTGCTGGCAGAACGGAGAAATTCGGAGCTCGAGTCCCTCGGGCCTCGGCAGTGGTTCTTGGCTCGCTCTTCTGCTAATATTAGGACTGGTTTGAGGAAGATTACGGTTCTGTGAAATAGCTATTAATATCATACAAAGCTTGGATGGAAGTCAAAAATAACAGCAAATGAGAAAACTACTAACCACACAGCCAAACAGGAAGCGCAGGCAAGGCTTGGTGTTGTGAAAGATAAACGGTGGGAAGGAAAAGCAAAAGAGCTGCAATAAGATGCAGAGAAGAAAAATACAAATAGCTTCAGAGTTAGCTTGAAAATAGTTCTTGGCTCCAAACCAGTTATTTTACATCAAATAGATTTTACATCAATAGAAGCCCAGAGCCTGGGGAAGGATCACAGATCAGCAGGAGAGCACCTGAGGAGCAGCACAAAGGAATTCCAGCCAGTAAGTCAGCTTTGTCAGGGGCCCAGCTTAAATGCCTCTATGCAAACGCACATAAGCATGGGGAATAAACAAGAGAAGTTACACGTGTGCGCACCTGCGGGGCTACGATCTTATTGGCACCACGGAGATGGTGGGATGGCTCCTATGGCCAGAGGGTTGGAATGGAAGGATACAGGCTCTTTAGGAAGGACAACACAGCAGGGCATAAGCTGGAAGTGTTCAAGGCCAGGTTCAGTGGGGCTCTGAGCACCCCGGTCTAGTGGAAGGTGTCCCTGCCTGTGGCAGGGGGGTTGGAACTAGATGATCTTCAAGGTCACTTCCAACCCAAACCATTCTATGAAGTAACGCTTATCGAATTCTGATTGAAATGAAATCCTGGTTTATTGGCCCAGACATTTCCTGAGTTTGAAAAAACACCTGTCTGTCATAAAGTTTCTCTGCTGCCTACTCGAGAACAGAGAGGGCTTGAACCAGCTTGGTACTCCAACCCCCTCCATGCCTTGGAAATGAAGAGGAAGAAGAGCAGATTAAG